ATTCCTAAAAAATATCTTCTGAGAATAGGGAAACTTTTGCGGTTATCTTTTGACGGTTAGATACAGGCCCTTTCACGACAAATTATAGACGATATCGGCATAGTAATAGGGCACATATACGATATAACACATACATGTAAATAAATAATGCTTGTATGACTAATACACTGCCTTCGCTTAGTTCCCTTCAGGACCGTTCAGGTTCCTAAAATGACACTATTTTCTATCTAATCTAATACATTTAAACGAGCAATTCTTGTATACTTATACCGGCGATCTTCGATCTCGATCGGCGAAATTTCGCTGAAAGTTGGTATGTGGGGGTTTTTGGAGGCGTAAAATCGATCTAGATTCGTCTTATGTCTGGGGAAACGCGTGTTTTCCACTTTTAATTTGGTTAACGGTGTTCTTTCGCAATATTCCACGCGATATATGGTCGCTAATTTCGCACGTTCGGTCATAAGCATTCGTGGTCTAGCAGCCAAGGCGCAAGATTGACAATCACAAGTGTCCGGGTTCGAATCCTAGTCGGAGTAAGTTTTTACTTTTGTTTTTTTTTCCATTCATTCAAGTTTTTAGTCTTTCTTGTTTTTAAGCCAAATGAAAATGAAAATTTTATTTTTGACCAAAAACTAGATATCATCAAAAAATACAACACTTAATACATTTGTCCCATTAGCTCATAAATTATTTTAAATTTGCTGATTTATTATTATTTCTATGAATAATGAGGCAAAGACAAAATAGTTCAGTACCTTTTGTTCTCTGTTTGTCTACCGATTTTCTTTTTTCTTTTTTTTTGTTTCGTTCCTATTTTTTACGACGGGCTTTAATATTATTAATAAAAAAAATTGGAAACGGTTATAGTTTTTTTTATACTGATAGGTAAATTCTATTCATAAATGTTTGCCTCAAATTTTTATAATTTTTATATGTTTTTTATTTGTAGTAGTACAATAATTTCTTTAAATATTATAAATACTAGCAAAACCCACGGCTTCGCTCGCGCTAAACTAAAAAAAAAATCTCTAAAAAGGTAGTTACATACAAACTTTCATCCGATATTTTACCTCCTTATGCAATGAATTTCGAAAAATGCTAAAACACGTGTTTTTTTTTTTTTTAAAAGCATTAATGCCAAGTTTCAAGTAATTCTGATCATAAATATTTGTTTGAATTGTATTATAACTTGTTTTCCCGTGGAATCGAAATGATCTCCCGCGATAAAAAGTAGCCTATGTCACTCTCCAGCCGTCCTACTATCTCCACACTAAAAATCACGACAATCCGTCACTCCGTTGCGACGTGAAGGAAGGATAAACAAACAAACAAACACACTTTCACATTTATAATATTAATTTGGATAAGCACCTATGACTGGAGTACAAGCATTCGTGCTCATCACACAAATAATGCCCCCAGCGAGACTAGAACCCGCGATCGCTGGCACAGCAAATAGGGTCACTAAGAACTAAGCCAAACGTGTCATTTTTAAATACGTTTTTGTATAAGTATGTGAATAATAATTATTCATAAATACTTTTTTAAAATATATATCATAGGCATATACCGTTAATTGTATTTCAAATCAAGTCACGCTTTCGTTAAAAAATGAAATGAATTGGCAACGTGATCTGTGTAACAATATGAGTTAAATCTACATGATGTAGGTAGATACGTTGTTTATAAAGTTATGTTTTAAAATCCATACTAATATTATAAATGTGAAAGTGTGTTTGTTTGTTTATTTGTCTTTCTTTCACGTCGAAATAGCTTGGCGGATTGGCGTGGTTTTTTTGTGTGGAGATAGTTGGAGGGCTAGAGAGTGACATACGTTACTTTTTACCGCGGGAGATTATGTCTTTCCCAAGGGAAAACACGTTTTGGATTGTATTACAATCCAAAAAAATATTAATGATCAGATATACTTAAAATTTGATATTATTGCACTTCAATACAATTAATTAAATACGTGTTTTAGCATTTTTCTAAATTCATCCATTAGGGGGTAAAATAGTGGATGAAAATTTCTATGAAACCTACCATTTTAGGAGTTTTCTTATAGTTTTAGCGCGAGCGAAGCCGCGGGTTCTGTTAGTATTATATAAGTAATAGCAGTCTGTACATATCAAATAAATTTTATCATTATATATTAGTGGGAGATATTTATGTATATTTTAACTTACTTATGCAAAAAAATCTACCTATTGGTAGCGCGAATGCTAATAAAACTGATGCGAGTTCACATCCCGGGTTATGCACCTCTGATATTTCAAAGTGCGAATTATTTTCACCATGACTACTACACAAACATTACACTTGCCTTATGGTGAAGGAAAACACCGTGAAGAATCCGGCTTGTCTAGATAGCCTAGCAAGTTTTCAAAAGACATGTGAAGTCGAACAATCCGCATTTGGCCAGCGTGGTGGACTATGCCCTGATACCTCTCGTATTGAAGGAAGGCCCGTGCCCAGCAGTGGGACATTAAAAATACCTGAGTACAACTGAGTTAACTAAACGAATTTGTTTCCCCATTAAAGTTCAAACAATAACTCGGCTAACCTCTGTCCATCAAACAGATTACTCCATCACTTACAACTGCTTTAATGTGCCCTATCAATCATGTCGGCTGTTATTAATTGTATCAGCTCTGAATCTATTCACTTCAATGTATATAGAAAACAGGGATGCTTTGTATACCAATTTATTCTAACTACTTATGATATATGGAATCTTGTCGCCATATAAGAATGCAGGGGTAGCGGATTCCATTCCCGTATACGAAACCACCTAGGTACAATCAATATATAAAGAGACAAAATAGAACGGTTCAGTATATTTATCTTCTTTGTGTGTCAACCGATTGCCCTTTTTTTGTTTAGGAGCAATTGACAAGCTTTAGATTTATCATTTAAAAAATACGTAGGTATGTTATTTCATATACATTTAGTAAAACGCTGTTATTTTGATATTACAAACAGACACTTCAACTTTATCTGTATAGATGTATAGATAATCTTATGTGTTCTTGTATATAATTTTACGAAGATATTTATTTAATCAATATCTTTTCATCGAATAGCAGTATCAATATCAAACACTTGAAGATATTTATTTTGAACACCAACTAACCAACTAAGTATATATTAAACACCAACATTTCCAAAAATAGTTTTATTTTTCGTGTTAAATTCGTAATCAAGACGAAATCTCAAATCATCATAGTTATTGTAGTTTTTTTGGAGTTTGCTCCATAATAGTAATAACTCGAATTTGGATTATTTGGACTTGTGCTACTCTTTATGTAATGCTTATTTCACTATAATTAATGTAAATATTTACTTACTTACGTTAAGAAATAATAGCTTTTTAACCAATAAAGAACTTGGCTAAATTCAATTGTTCTCAATGTATATTTTTATATAAGTATTTTTTTTTAATTTACATGAAACCTTTGAGATATTATGACGTATTCATTAATGCGTTCATACACAAAAAACCATACACCCGAATCGATTTACACTTCATTTTTTGATACAAAAGCTCAAAGTTAAACGTTTATGTAACAGGTAATTCAAATATCGTACAAAGAAATCAAATCAGGAGATATTCTATTACAGTAAAGCTTAAAAAGGAGGATTCTTAATCACTAGCCCTGGATGGTGCAATTAGTCGGAATCCTTTGTCCACTATAATTGCTACTCTCATCTGACCGGACCGACGGAAACTTTCAGACCTTTGCTTGGAACACACCTGAAATTAATTTGTAAGGGTTTTCAACGATGATTATAACCACCTATTATAAAATCAAAATTTAAATGTATAATACTTTCTTAGATTTATACTAATGTATACTTAATAAAACAATTTTGTTTTATTAAGTATACATTAATATAAATCTAAGAAAGTATTAAATGTATATTAAATTATTATATTATATATTAAATTATTATATTAAATGTATACTTAATAAAACAATTTTGAATAACGTCTTTGTTTATAGTGGAAGAAACTAAAAAAAATTTGTAGAGCTCATAGCTTAGAGCGTTCATACAAATAAATACATATTGAATGAGATGTGTAAAAATTAATTTAAAGATTTATTATAAAATAGATATCATGAAATACATTCTTTACGCTATTTACCGAAAATTAAACGCACGGCCGATTCATGAATCACAATATCACTTAAAACTGCTTATGATTTTGACTATTTCTCTTAATTGTAATAAAAGTAAAAAAAATAATACCATAAAAAAATATCCAAAAACAGTAGAAATTTTTTTTCGGCACATTTCAATCGAATCTAAAAAGGATATCGAGTAAAGTCTGAGACCATCCCGTAATCCTAACCGAGGCTCGTCCGTATATCAAATTACGATCGGTCCGCTGATAGGTGACGATCAATTTGCATGCGTGTACCAATCGTGCTAGACCTGGATTTATGGCAAACCTGATATACCCCTTCAACTATTTGGCAAGTTATACGAAAATTTTTCGTAAAAATTTTTCAAATTGAAAAACTATTTTTTCTATATTTATATTGGCTGCATTTACGGTATTTTGTCCATGGAGGATAAAGTAAAATTTATTGGATTTTTAGATATGACAAAAAAATAGATAGTATTTATAGAAATTCTTATTTTAACGGGTTCGGATCCGGCTGAGGGCATTCATTTGTATCATGAGCACAAAGTTATGTATGTGTAGTATATCAACTATCTAGTATCCATAACACAAGCCTCGTAGCTTACCATGGAACTAAATAGTGTCGTGTGTTAATGTCCCAACATATTTATTTATTTATATATGTATCATATTAATGAACTTCATTTCTAATAACATATAGGTTGTAAAATATATAATTTACAAGATGCTGTGTCTATTTGGAGTGATTATATCAACACAATATTTTCATATAGGTATACCCATGTCAATAATATATTTATCAAAGAAATTTTTTTTTTACATTTTTTGATAATATATTATTTCTGTGCAGATGCAATGTTTCACAATGTGAAGATCTGAATCACACATCTTGGTTAGAATATGCAATACCGAACGAAAAGAACAGCTTATCAAGATGCGAGATGTTTGGAACAAAAGCTAACACCAGTGAAACGTGCAGCGTTGATGACTTCGATACGAATGTTGTAAAGAAATGTATGGAATACGTGTATAGTGACGAAGACTCTGCTGTGAAAGACGTAATTAAAATAGCTTTGATAAAAAAGAAAATATTATATATATAATGATAATAATAGTATCTAGTAGTCATCAAAAATCTCAAAATATATTCTTATAATTTATAACAATACTAGCATTGCCCGCGGCTCCGCCCGCGTTCAGATGACCAAAAACCTATGTTTTACATATTAGTATACTCTTACAATGCAGCTTTTGTATTTTTTCTCAGAAATGAGATATATTCCCGCGGTAAAAATATCCTATATGTTGACCCTGATAGCCAGCTATCATAATACCAAATTTTATCAAAATCTGTCCAGTGGTTTCTTTGTGATGCGGTAACAGACAGAAGACAGACAGACAGACAGACAAAAATTCTAAAAACTATAGATTCGGACTCTGTATCGATAATAATGTCTATTTCAATAAGATTTTCCAAAAAATATTGAATGTACAGATTCGGCTTAGTTACAATTTTATTATATGTATAGATAAATTTATAGCGACTCACCCTCGACCTATGTATGTTGTAACGTTTAGTATAGATTTCTAAGAGTTGAGATATTTGATTTTATGTTAACCCGGATAACCTATCATCATACTAAATTTCATTAAAATCTGTCCCATGATTTTCGTGATGCCTTCCGAGACAGACAGACAGACAGAAAAAAACTAAAAACTATAGAGTCAACCTCTGTATCCAATAATAATGACTATTTCAATAAGATTTTCCAAAAAATATTTAATGTACCATTTCGACTCAGTTAGAATTTTATTATATGTATAAACATATGTTAAAATATTATGTGATATTAGTAAAAATTCTCGTATTAATTTCATAGACATGGCAGATCAAACATCAAAATAACTTTAAGTAATATTTACCAGTTTATACTATTTATTAACATTTTGTAGTTGTAGACATTAAGACTAGACTTAGATATATTTAAAAAACTAACCAGTGTGGTTTAGGTAAAGCAAAGGTACATATCTGTCTTATACGTAGGTTCAGGGTTCATCTCCTGTATAGAGCAAATATTTGTTTAACACAATTCTTCTATATCATGTAGAATACTCATTATGTAATATTAATAATGTAAAAATAATCAGTAATAATAACTATCAAAATTCCTTTTAATAAGAATCAAATCCACTATCTAATAGTTAAAAATCCGACATGAGCATACATACTTATCTAAATATAATAACATACGATATATCATGCGCATGGTCGATGGAGACGGCGTGTGCTGGAGGCGTGGTGACTGGTGATATCGTATCTAAACACAAAAAATAGATTAATTTGACGAGACAACTGTCGCAAAAATCATAAGATCAACTGACTATCCTTGATATGTATTTGGTTATCTTTATTGACGACTCGTTTGGCTCAATTTGTAGTGACCCTACTTGCTGTGCCAGCGGTCGCGGGTTCGAGTCTCGCCAGGGGCATTCATTTGTGTGATTAGCACGAATGTTTGTACTCTAGTCATGGGTGTTTATGTTTATTTATAATATGTATGTATTTATAGTTATATATGTGTAGTGTATCAACTATCTGGTATCCATAACACGAGCCTCGTAGCTTACGATGGAACTAGATGGTGCTGTGTTTTAATGTCCCAATATATTTATTTATTATAATAGCTATATTACTACACAACTTACAAATTAGTCACGATAAAACAATATTCTATTTTTATCAAGGCACATATAATACTTGTTAAATAGGATATTTCGTAATATTGAATCAGTTTTTTTTTTAATTGAATTACATTTACATAAAAACTTAGTTATACGATTTTGGTATTTTTAAATATTTTTGATGGATGTAACGTTTGAAATTTTATTAATAAAATGTTTAATACTTTCGCGCACTTGTATTGCGAAATTATTTAAAGAATTCACCTGTTTTAAGCGTAGAAAAGAATTGAATAAATCTCTCATATTTAATTGCAGTTCGATCTGGGATGTCAAAATTGGAAACGAACCCTTATAGGGTCAATTCACAACGCCGGACTGTTTGTCTCGTTGCCCCTTACTGGCTTCATATCGGACAAGTATGGCAGAAAAATCGCTTTGTCTGTAGCTTCCTTAATGAATGGCATATTTGGGCTTATAAGATCCTTCTCCATCAACTACCCCATGATGTTGGTGTTTGAATTTTTAGAAGCTGGCTTGGGAGCAGGTGCTTATAGTACAGCGTTTGTTATTGGTGAGTTATTTTTTTTATTGGTATACAATTTAGGATACTAATAAAGAGTCGTTATGAGATAAAATCATTCTCCTCAATAAAACTATTTGTGTTAAATATATTTGTTACATCTAATTACATAATAAATAATAACAATTTGAAATATTATGCTTTTTGATTTTTATAAGGACGTTCAATGTTAAAACATTTTGTTTCAGCAATGGAATTAGTCGGACCTAAAGGCAGGGTATTTGGAAACACCCTTATAAATATTTTGTACGTTATGGGACTGATATCACTATCTGGATTTTCTTGGTGGCTGCAAAGCTGGAGACATGTCCTAAGACTTATATATACACCAGCCCTTTTAGTAGTATCTTATTATTGGATTCTCAATGAAAGTGTCCGATGGTTGATTAGTAAGGGTCGTCACCAAGAAGCTGCTAATATTCTAAAGAAAGCAGCGAAGATGAATAAAGTGAATTTATCGAACGAAGTGCTTTCCCCATTATATGAACTTGAAAAAACTGTGCCAGATAATGAAAAACATAAAGAAGACGCGGATAATGAACAACGCCAAGATAAACAAGAATCTAATTTTAAAAAAGTGATCAAATCTAGTATTATTAGAAAAAGACTGGCAATATGTTCATTTCTTTGGATTACATGTACTTTCGTCTATTACGGGCTGTCTATAAATTCAGTGTCGTTAGCCGGAAATAAATATGTTAACTTTATGTTAGTGGCTTTTGTAGAAATCCCAGCGAATATCGCGTGTTTGTTAGTGTTGGACAGGTTCGGGAGGAAAAGAGTGTTAATTACTACATATGTTTTGAGTGCATGTTTGTGCATAAGTCTATCGTTCCTTGCAAAAGGTAAGTCCTAATCACATTTGCATAGAATAATTTATTTTTATAGATGTATAATACTTTCTTAGATTTACGTCTAAAACCTTAATCTCTCCCGTTACCATGATTGATGTAAAACATTCGAAACATCGGGACGCAAAAATCCGAAAAGATAGTTTTATTTAATACTCGTAGATATACTTTATATTCTAATTAGACGAAAATTTAAACAGTTTATTTATAATTAATCAAGAGTATCAAAAGTTATTAAGTTTCTTATACCACAACGATTCTCTAGAACCAAGCTTTCAATGATAATAAACTTTCCGCCCAACAGAGATAATATGAATATCTCTCCCAATCTCATCCGAGCACGATTTGACGCGAACAAAAGACGGCTTGATAATCCTAAAAACAGTTTACGCCAAATTGACAACGCCTCAAGTTGGTCGGTATTTTGCAGTGTAGCTGTTTATTTAGTGATCGATGTTTGCTCAGAATTAATGGAATATTTAAGTTAAACCGATTTCTGAAATATGACTTTCCCCTACATTCGAAGATATAATGTAATGACTTTTCCGTCGGCAGCACTTGAAACGGTGTTTAACAAACATTGCATGAATAAATGAATGAAGGAACGTTTTGATGTAGGTCTGATATTGCAATTTTAATGGTGATAAAATACAAGATTGGTGGCGACTCGCCCTCGAGTTTTACTGTTTTAAGTGAAATTATACGAAATGAGATTTCATACAGAATTTTATTTGCGGCTTACAAGATTTGAGGTTAAAATACGATTTGCAAATGACAAGATTTTTATCATTGACCCGCTTGACCTGTATGAAAAATATATTTTATTTATCGACACAATTTTGTATCCAGATTCAGGTATAAAGTAAAAAAATACACAATAGAATAGTACTATCTATACTGATATTATAAATGTGAAAGTTTGTGAGTATGTATAGATGTTTTTTACTCTTTCACCCCAAAACGGCTGAGCGGATCTGGATAAAATTTGGCACAGAGATAGATTATATTCTGGAATAACACATATGTTAGTGGTAGTATAGGTTTAGTGAAAAAAAAGGATGTGTTTAGTATGTAACTATACCTACTATCAAATCAACAAAATTTTCCTTATTAAATACTCGTATATACTTATACATATTAGGGTGTCCATTATTTACCAAGTTAATTTTTATTTTAATACCACCAGAATTATCATTTAAAAAAAAAATTATCGAAATAATAACTTTGCCATAAAAGTAAAAAAAAATGAAAATATACACAGAGTTCAACTTTCACCTCTAATAACTTATGAAGGAGTGAATTAATCGAAAATGAATTAATCGAAAAATCCCCATCTATGAGAAACCTTTTTTATAGAGCGTTCAATTTCCTATAAGAATATGTATGTCTCATTGCTGTAATTTTTTGTTCGAGAATAAAATTTGTAAAAAGTGGCAATATTCTATGTAATTTAAATAGGAAATGTATCGTATTTAGGGCAATATTTATTATGAATATTAAGGGTTTATTTTGGTTTAACATTTTTTTAGACGATAAACTAAAAATTTAGGACCATCACAAGAAAAAAAATAAACTTGGTAAATAACTGACGCTCTATACATATAAAAAATTAACAATTCGTTTTTTTTCACAGAACAAAAATGGTTATCCCTCGTCATATACCTCTCGGGCAAGTTCTCTATAACAGTTGCCTACAGTTCTGTATACATTTATGTATCAGAAGTATTTCCAACGAATGTGAGACAGTCGCTGTTGGCTGTTTGTTCGTCGTTGGGAAGAGTTGGCTCTACGTTAGCACCACTTACGCCTTTACTTGTAAGTATGAGAATTTAAAATATAATATAACTTGTAATGTTTTCAATATCTATATTAAAAAATCGAAATATACAAATGAAGCAAATTTATGTATATTGTAGTAAATTTAATTTCTAAATTAGCAATAGTATTACTAAATGTATAATAATTTACTTTGAATAACTCAAAAATATTTTTCTTTTATTACTAAATTTACACTTGCAAAATTATAATACAGTCCTAATATTATATACACGTAATACTTTAATTTATAACATGGCTATTATTTCCCCACAGGCGCTATACTACGACAATTTACCAGCGATATTCTTCGGCAGTCTCGCATTAATCGCTAGCATCCTCGTATTTTCGTTACCGGAAACTATCAATGTGGCTCTACCAGATACTATAGAAGAAGCTGAGCAGATCGCTCAAAGAGCTAAGAAAAAGGACGTCGCTTAAAGCTCGAATAAAAATATTCTATTTTGTTCACTTTTCGCCTTCAGTCGTGGTTGTAAATAGGAAAAGTTTTAGTACCTATAATAAATATTAATGGGATCATTTTTATATTTAGGTATCTATGGGAAATCAAAAAAAGTTATAAGTTTTAGGATTCCATATATCTGATATAAAAACGTAATTTACATAGGTTCACTCTATCCAATTTGACATACATATATTCTGATGCTACTTTTAATCAGCAATATCTAAGTATTTTATTTATTACTGGAAGCTATTAAGGTGACTCTTACAGACACTTTGAAATCGCTCAAAGAACTAAGAGAACAAACAAGGTCAAAAGTCGCTTAGTAGTCAAAAATGATATATCTACTATTTATTGTCTTTATTGCCAACATAGCTTTTTTATATATTTTTTAAAAAAAGTTAAAATTTAAAAAATATTAAAAGACTTTTCGAAGTTCTTTGTATACCGAATAAGGGAATATAAAGCATCATTCATGTGTTTGACTGTTCTTCTGTCAAAAAAGAAAAAGTTGTACAATACTTACAAATTACGGAAAAATGTAACGAAAATACTAAAGTTCATAAAGTCTGTAAACTTTTTAATAACTTTAGATTCCCACAAACAACTCGCGCTTGACCAATTATAAAGAGGAATTCAATTTTTGTCAGATTATTAAATATTTTGTGTGTTATACTTTTATATCGATGTTTTGATGTTGATTTTCGATAGATGTACGAAACATTAAAAATCAAATTGATTAACTAATTAATTTAAAATATGAAAAACAAAAACAAGTCTGAGTCGGAATCTGTACATTTATCCGGGATAAAAAGTGATTTATGTGCTATTCCAGACTATAATCTACCTCTGTGCCAAATGTCATCCAGATCTGTTCACATTTATAATATTAGTACAATAGTTTTTTATTTATACATACATATATATATATATATATATATATATATATATATATATATATACGTATATATTATAGTAGATTAGGATTAATATCCTAACTTACAAGTGAAAGCTTTATATATTTTTAGCAAACAGTGGTTCCATATAACATAATAGGACTAACTTGATATGATGCCAATTTTTTATATTTTTGTTAATATTTTCTTATAATAATTTTATTTATGAATATTTTCGTACTAATTATACAATGTAGTTATACGTTTACTATTTGCTATTTGTATAATAATCGATTTTGTTAATTATATGTAATTAAAGAACATGACCTATGACATAAATGGAGAATTTAGAATTTAAAGGACAATTTGAAAGTCACAAACAGTCCACACATAATGTATATAATAGTATAAATAAATGCACATATTTAAAAAAAATATACTTGCACAAATGACTTAATGTAGGTAATGTATTTTTCACTAATTTTATAAAAAGGAGCAGGTCTCGATTCTAAATGTATGTTTTTGTATGTTACGCGATATCGCCTATTGTGAACTTATTTTAATAAGATTATGAAGCTGTATTTTTTTCTTAAAAAGCCATAATTAGCTGTAGCTTGTTAAGAAGTTGTAAATAACAAGTACTTTTTCTCGCCATGAAGTACAAATAAAAAATTTGCTCAATTTATACCAACTTTGTGTTTTAATTATAAAAGACCCACGCCTGATAAAATTTTAAAGCAATACACGTAGAAAAAGATTTTACTAAACACATCAACAGATGCGCTATAAAATGTGGAATAAATATTGCTGTATTATGTCGGTACATAATGTCTAATAATATTGATGAAGACCCTTTAATATAAATTTTATTAAAAATAACTCAAGGCCTTTCAAGGGTCAATATTTATTAATTAGTAGCGACTTACCCTAGCTTTGCTCGAGTTCGTCCCTAGCGCGGATTACAGTTACAGTTTCATCGGTTTTAATTTTTTTGCGCAGAACCTTAATTCTTTTTCTTAAATAAAAGTAGCCTAAGTTACTCCTTATAACATCAGCTATCTCCCAGTGAAAGTCCCATCAAAATCGGTGCTACCAATCCGAAGATTAGCTCGAACACAGACAGTACAGTTTAACCGTTGACGAGGTAGTATAAAATCCGAAGGTGTAAATACATTTTAAAATATAAGCGTTTTCACTATTCTATGTATCACTGTGGGAATTTATTGCCTTCAAATATTTTCCTGCACTTGATTGATTGGAGTGCACTCCATATTTGACTACCTTTCCCGTTGCCCACAACATACTGCAATCCCTGCAATTTATTTATTTTGCACCATCCACGTTTCTAAAATAAAAATGTTTTAAATTTCATTGGATAGTATTAATATTCTTCATGTCAAAAACTCTCTAAAGGTGTTTGAAAAATTTTCCTATACATACATACATTTCCTATACATACATTTCCTATACACAAAGTTGTTTCTTGAGCTTTTTAAACCAATATTTTTAAAGGCGTATTTAAAAAAGTCATAGACGTCCATTTTGTGTGTTACGCGACATCTTTACCAATTGTAAACACAATTTTAATGATAAGTTTACGTAATATTTTAGATAACTCAATTTTTTCATTTATATCTATACTAATAATATTAGAAGGTAATCATAAATGTCAAACAACAAATCGCGCAGACTTCCATACATTATAGTAAAACTGATGTTTATAATATGTTTTTATTGCTTTAATCTGTGGTCAAATACTCATCGTGTAGAGGGTAGATATATGAACCAGACATATATGTGTATTGTATAATCAAATTTAACGCGGTTGAAACCGCGGGGCACAGCTAGTCTTTTATTTTCAACTCCTTATGTTTTAACGTTTAGTATAGATTTCTCAGAAATGATATATTTTTCCGCAATAAAAAGTATCCTATATGTTGACCCGGATAACCAGCTATCATCATACCAAATTTCATCAAAATCGGTCCAGTGGTTTTTCCGTGATGCGGTAACAGACAGATAGATAGACAGACAGACAGACAAAAATTCTAAAAACTACAGAATCGGCCTCTGTATCGATAATAATGTCTATTTCAATAAGATTTTCCGAAAAATATTCACGTACAGATTCGGCTCAGTTAGAATTTTATTATATGTATAGATATAAAGTTCCACCACTACGGGTATTGCCCTAATAGTTACATTTAAAGTGATTTGAAATCGCTAGATATTTTATAAAAAAAGTACTTGCTAATATTTGTCCATCTGTCTGTCTGTTTTTTTAAGTACAACCTGAATTATTAATTTAAATTGTAAACATACCATTCAATATCAAATACATATTTTATTATAACATCAGAAAGCTACTTCACTTAAAAGGGGTCCTCTTTCAAAATCTCATACAGGTTCGAGACTGTAACAGTATAAAAAAAGAGAACTCCAAAAGTCACAGATAATATTATGTACTTAGTATGTACATATGTGGTGTGTAACGTATTCAATATAAAAAAAATACATATTATACTGACGACACGTTTGGCTCAGTTTGTAGCGACCCTACTTGCTGTGCCAGCAGTCGCGGGTTCGAGTCCCGCTGGGTGCATTCATTTGTGTGATGAGCACAAATGTTTGTACTCTAGTCATGGGTGTTTATATTTATAATATGTATTTAAAGTTTATATATGAGTAGTGTATCAACTATCTGGTATCCATAACCTCGTAGCTTACCATGGAACTAGATGGTGCTGTGTGTTAATGTCCCAACATATTTATTTATTCATTTATATTGGAAGCAATCTATCCCGGTTTCGCCTGCCTGTCTTTTAATTTAACAAGTAAAAATACAATCTATTCTAACTGCTACCGGATTAAATTTCATGAAGCACATTATACTAACTTAGCCAGATAATAATAACTTTAAAATCCGTTCATTTCACTTCTATTTACTTTAAAGTTCCTCTAAAAACTTCTATGTTATTTGAGTTGAGTGTAGTTTATATCTATATTTAATATTATAAATGGGAAAGTAACTCTGTCTGTCTGTCTATTACCTATTCACACTTGATCCGCTGAACCGATTTAGATGAAATTTGGTATGGGGATAGTTTAAGACCCTATGAAGGACATAGTTTATATCCCGGAAATCATCCCTTATGGGTGAAAAGGGGGGTGGAAGTTTGTATGGGAAATGAATAATCTCAATAAGGGATATATATTTTTTTTATTTTTGAAGTACTTACCAACTTTTCTATACCTATATTAGTATGTATGTATGTATGTATGTATGTATGTATGTATGTACATATATATAGTCTATTCTATACTAACCGTTAAAACGTAGCTAGGGACGAACCCGAGGGAAGCGAGGATGAGTCGCTATTAATATATCAATATTCAATATCATACAAAAATAAATAAAACTCTTTTTATTTTATTATAATTTATATTTTTATATAATCTGGGAAAATTATGTGTATCTGGCAAACCCAAGTTCATCGGATACTCATAAATAACATCTGATATCATATATGAAATATTAAACGAAATTCTTGAAATTCTGATAGCAAGGAGAGCGTTTTTATTAAAATATATTCTAGCAATAAGCATCCTTATACTGATTCAATAATCTGTTCAGTACTTAGCTAGTAACATGACATAGAGAGATGGACTAAGTATTTCTTTGCCAGCCGTCAACTAAAAATGGTAGAAAAGCGCGAGAGAGATAAAACGATCGTGCGGCTAGAAGTGTTCTGTATTTATTGAAATACAACTAATGAAGATACATATTTATAACCATTTTACGTTCCATTGAAATGTTATAATTTTCTATAATATTATATTTTTTCCAACATTGGAATAAAAGACGGGTATTGGCCGTACGTTCATTTTATAACAGTATTGCTGAGTCCATTCTATACGTCTATGGCTAATAATAATAAAGTATATATAATTAAAGAAAAACTTAAATCAGTTTCTAAAAGACACATTATATTTTTAATCTGTCTCGTTTTTTAATGAAAATCCAAGTCTTTCCTACCAGAAAATCTTCATTATTATGTTACAGCTTGAAAATAGCTTTATAAATTTTTATTTTTATTCATATTTCTCTTTAAACAATATTAATGATTCACGACAAGTGACCAACGTTTTGTCATTCAGATTATCGTTTAAAAAAAACTTTAGGCAAACTTATATTTTTATTTTTGTATGTGGTGGTGGTGGTGGCTCTATAAATAATTCATTGGACAAATAACTAGATAAATATTCATTTCATAAAATATCATTGAAATATTATAAAATATGCACAAAATAGCACTAGTGGCAAAATAAGTTCTAGTAATTATTAATTTTGTAAATATTTAATTAAAATTAATTAATATGTGTTCGCCGATTGGTCGAAATTCAAATATAATCGTTATTTTTATTTATAACTAAAGCTCGTCAATAGCTACTAATAAGAAAAAAAAGAAAATTGGTTGACAAACAGAGAAGAAAAGGGTACTGAACCGTTTTGTCTTTGCCTATTTACATATAATATATAGATATACTACTAACACTGCAAAGTCCACATAATATTTGGCACACTCTTAAGTCATAGGGTTAAAGAAAAATGCAAATAATGTATAACACGACTCTGTCTGACTCGAAGAGAAACTCTCTATTATGACAATAAAGTATACCTAGTCTTTTTATTAAAAAAAAAACACAATTTTATGGATATTTTCGCATTTTATTTTGATTTTTGATTCTCGACATTGATAACATCTTGCGTAAACCCTTAGAAGCCTAACATTTATATATAAATATAATATATAATAACTACACAAACGAAAAAGCTGACTTTGCCTTGCTTTAGCTTTATTTGAGTTACCGATTTCTGTATTATTAAAAGGTCCTATTTGTTTTATGTTTAGGGGAAAAACGCACCATTCGTTAATTCATTAATATAATAACACATCAACAAACATATTTTCCCATTTAAAACATGATTAAGGTTATATGGATCTCTGATGAATAGATACACAGGGCAGACTATGTTAGGCAATACGTTCACTCACTTTGTAGGTCACGGTCTCGCGCGATTTTATAGTAAGGTACATATTATGTTTTTTATTTATCTTCAAAAGTTTTTATAACATTACTTATAATAAAATTTCATATCTTTATATTTATTTTTGTTTTATTACTAGCAGAACCTGCGGCTTCGCTCGCGCTAAAACTACAAAAAAAATCTCTAAAAAGGTAGTTTTATACAAACTTTCATCCACTATTTTACCTCCTTATAGGATAAATTTCGAAAAATGGTATAACACGTATTTATTTAATTTTTTTTTGAGGAGCATTAATACCAAGTTACAAGTAATTCAGATCATAAATATTCTTTTGGATTGTATTATAACGTGTTTTCCCGTGGGAAAGAGATAATCTCCCGCGGTAAAAAGTAGCCTATGTCACTATCCACACAAAAAATCACGCCAATCCGCCAAGCCGTTTTGACGTGAAAGAAAGACAAACAAACAAACAAACAAAACTAACAAACAAACACACTTTCACATTAATTATAATATTAGTCTGAATATCTAAAATTGTTTTACAAACCCTAACCGTACTTAACTAAGTGTACTCTTTTCCTGTACTCTGATACTCCGGTGAGACCAAAACTCGATACGGCCAGTGAGAGTTAAGGCGCAGGACCGACGGCTTTACATGCTCTCCGAGGCACGGAGCTGAACTGCCACCACTTTCCAACTCCGGGCTGTTACTGAGTATTTCTTTACAGAAAAATACAAGCTTTCACGAAGTTACTTTTTTATTATCTCTAAACATTTAGATAAAGTACAAATAAGAAAAGAGGGATATAATATTTGCTTTTAATGTAAAGATATGAGCATATTAGATGACATAATTCAAAAGTACTTGTAATAAGTCTAATTAAATAAAGTTTATTTCGTTTCATTTCATACAAGAGACCTACAACATATATATTTAATTTATCTAAAAGATCAATAAATAAATATGAAATAATGCGATTTCCGAGTTTTACTCTTCACATTACCCCTTTTAAAGTTGTATTGCAATAAGTTGAAACCATATAATATGGCTTCATATAACCACCCTCCTAACATAACACCCCTATTTAACTACTTTATTACAACGATCCAACGAAATGAAAGAAATTAATTCGAATTTTATAAGGAGAATAGCATTGCCCGCGGCTCCGTCCGCGTTCAGATGACCAAAACACAATTCTTAGGTTTTACATATTAGTATACTCTAACATTGCAGTTTTTGTATTTTTTCTCAAAAGTGAGATATTTTCCCGCGGTAAAAAGTATCCTATATGTTGACCCGAATAACCAGCTATCACCATACCATATTTCATCCAAATCCCTCCGGTGGTTTTTTGTGATGCGGTAACAGACAGACAGACAGACAGACAGACAGACAGACAGACTGACAGACAGACAGACAGACAGACAGACAGACAGACAGACAGACAGACAGACAGACAGACAGACAGACAGACAGACAAAAATTCTAAAAACTATAGATTCGGCCTCTGCCTCGATAATAATGTCTACTTCAATAAGATTTTTCAAAAAATATTTAAAGTCTGTCTGTTACCGCATCACAAAAAACCACTGGAGGGATTTTGATGAAATTTGGTATGGTGATAGCTGGTTATCCGTATCAACATATAGGATACTTTTACCGCGAGAAAATGTCTCATTTCTGAAAAAAAATATACAAAAACTGCAATGTAAGAGTATACTAATATGTAAAACCAAAGAATTTGGTTTTTGGTCGTCTGAACGCGGGCGGAGCCACGGGCAATGCTAGTATAATCTATAGATTTACTTTATAAAGTATATAAAATATAGAACTGTAATGTGAAAGCAAGGGCGTATCACTAGTGATGAAGAATTCAAAATCTATGCTGGTATATATTTGTGTATTTAGTAGGACTAAGTAAAGGAATGCTGTAGGCATTCTTGTCACCATTCGACGAGAACGTGATTACAGTTATAATTTAAAGAAACATTATCTACACTCGTTACGTTTTATTATAATTTAAGTATTCAAATAACACATAAGATGTTTGGCATTGAAATAAAGCTTCAAACTAGAATTAGATAAAAAAAAACCACTTGAATTAATAGATTTTTTTACAAAATATAAGCGAATAGAATATATCACCAAACATAATAGGCTATTGTTGAAAATAGGCTTATAATATTAATGATTTGTCTTTATATCTCTACAGGTATGTATATATAAACATTGATGTGTGTATGTGTGTTCCCCATAGACTCCAAAACGGCTGGAGCGATTCTGATGAAATTTTCAGGCAATCTTCAGATTAGTCCAGCAGGTGATCCTGCGAAGTTTGATAGCAATCGGAAATTTGAATGCAAGCGAAACCACGAGTCCTGCTAGTATCATATAATATTAAAATAAAGATAGAAGTCTGCCTACGACACGCAATAGTTAGAAGATACCTATATTTTTATCTTTACTTATTTAAATTTCCTTAGTTCATTGTATGTGATTAACATATATCGATAAAACTTCAAACTGTTATTATATTTGCAAAACCAGATACAAGCAAATATTTTTAACCCCATGCTATATACTCAGGTAGAAGATTGACTTAGCATGTGGAACTCTACACTAAATACAAAATTCTACCATACACTTGTCTACAAAAACCTAATAAAATCAACCATTACTGTTTTTCTTTGAAAATAACTATTAATTCCTTATACAAAAGAGTAATGGATTTTGTTATATCAATATTATCAGAGTGCGGTTTCATCGGCGTAAGCGCGTGGAACGATGACGTTTCATAGTAGCGTTAAATGTGAAGCGTCGTGCCATTGCAAGAGCCAATGAGTGAACCGAAATACTCGGTCGATGGCACACGTACCGGCCGGTGTAACACTTTCAAACATTATTAGTACGATTTTGATGTGATTTAAACGTTTTTATAAGAATTTTCTGTAACAAAACAGTGAGTGAACAGTATAAAAGTACACGTGGTTCATTTGGCAGGAGATTTTCAAAGTTTCTGTAAGTAGTTTAAACATTTTATAGGTTAAATATTTTTGTTAAATTTAAAAATAATAATGAATAGCATTAAAATACTATAATTTTGCTATTTTATAAATAAAACAGAATATTCCATGCCGAGAACTAAATTGTAGAGCGTTGCTGATGTTAATTAGATTGCACACATGTCGACGAGACCATACTTGTTATTTTAAACGTTTTTAAATTTCATATAAAATATACTGTCTAGTTAAATTTTAATATTTAACTTTGCGTTAAACCACTTATATTTTTGTTAATATTTTATTAAATATATAAACCGTCTAAGTAAAATATTATATTACTTAAATTAAATACAATCTTCTCCCAACACAACTCAACTGGGTCACAACTCACGAGTAAGGACATCTATACAGCAAATGTATGAATAAATAAAAAGCGTATAATATGTATTATATATTGTGTATATACCATACCATGGTATTTGAATAAATATCATTGATATTTTTTGTGCAATTTTATTATACAGATAAATAAAATTGAAGTGTCTGTTTGTAATGACAAAATAACAGCTTTTTACTAAATTCATATGAAATTGTATACGGTACTTATAATAAAAACACAACTTCCGGCTAATCTCCGAAACTGCTGGACTGATTTTGACGGAACTTTCACTGGCTGATAGATGATGTTATAAGGATGTCACTTAGGTTACTTTCATTTTAGAAAAAGAATTAGGGTTCCGCTCAAAAAAAATTTAATGTAGGTACCTAGGGAAGCACCCGAGCGAACCGAGAGTAAGCCGCTAGTACGAAATACGATTTAAGCCGCAAAGTAAATTTAGTATAGAGGCTCCTTTAATAGTCGTTGCGCAACTTGCCTAACTGAACTGTAAACATATCCATTTGAATTTTTGTACTTATCTCAAACATCATAGTTGATATCTTTCATGTAACATTTATAAATATTAATAAGTATAAATAATAAGTTTTCGTTACAAACAAAATTTCTTTTTTAATATATACATTATACAATATACCTACTGTATGACTAAAAAGTTTAAATAAAAAGGAGTCTTTATACGTATTGTTAACTTAAAATTATTTATTTAAATAATAAAGATCCGCTAACAATTAATTAACAAAAATTCATAATATTCACATAAAAAAACACACAAATTGACTCTCTACTCCTTTTTAAAGTCGGTCAAAAAGATTACACAGCTTAAGTTATACACTATATATTTTTATCTTTTTGTCCGCGTCCATTCAATCATCCTCCCGGTTATCGAACCCCATACAAAAATAACCTGAATGCGACTTAGACAATGGTCATTTAACAATGCATAGTCCACAATGGGATTTTAAAACTATTTCCTGTGCATCACAAAGCAAAGTATTTCTGTAACAGACCCTTCATTCGCAAATTAAGTATTTTAAATCGAAATATATACTTTCGGTGGATTTCGTGTAACTTTATTTAGCGCTATAGGTATAATTTAATTAGGTGTGATATAAAAAAATATTTAATAAGCGTAAATATATACGTTTTTCATATAGACAGGTTGATTTAAATTTGTTATTATAATAATTATGTTGGGACATTAACACACAGCACCGTCTAGTTCCATGATAAGCTACGAGGCTTGTGTTATGGATACCAGATGGTTGATACACTACACATGTGTATATAACATTAATAGTATACTGGAGTACAAACATTAATAACACAAATGAATGCAAATGAAAACTAGCGGGACTCGAACCCGCAACCGTTCGCACAGCAAATACGGTCACTACAAACTGAGCCAAACGTTTCGTCAAAAAATTGTTTATTTAAAGCTTTTAAAGAATATATTTAACATGTCTCCTATACAGCAATATCATAATCGAAATATCAGCTGTTACAACAAAACGCACCGAGTTTGTTATAAATACAAATTTTAAAAGATAATAACATCATCCGACAATATTTTAAGATATGAATATCTAATAGGTAAATATGTATTATACGTATCGAAATATATTACATTTGCTTTGCATCGGCTGGCACCGACTTCGAAAATATCTGATTAGGTATCTATTCTAAATGAAAACCTCCGTTTAGGTATTTTTTACATTTTAGTGCCTGGAAGTCGGTTTTTATTTTTTATTAAAAAGTTTTTATTACCGCAGGAAAATGTCTAATTTCTGAGAAAAAATACAAAAACTGCAATGTAAGAGTATACTAATATGTAAAACCTAAGTATTTGGTTTTTGGTCATCTGAACGCGGGCGGAGCCGCAGGCAATGCTAGTACCCTATAAAAAATATCCACACGGTTCTCTTTTGTAAATACATGATTCGTGGTAACAGTTGAAGAATTCGCAACATTTCCATTAAAAGTTATTATAAAATAGATATCATATCTTATCTATTCTAAACTAAGCGAGTTTGGGTTACTAAGATTCTAAGTCGCTTTGATGCTTGATTATAGAATTCCACTGATTAAATAGATACGACTTGAACGGCCGTTATGTGATTTTATATGAATTAATGTTCGCCAACTGATTCAAATTCGGACATGATCATTTTTTTACTAATAACACTAATTATACTAAAGCTTATTACCCATACTAATATTATAAATGTGAAAATTTATGAGGATTGCTGGATGGATGGATGTTTGTTACTCTTTCACGCCAGAACGGCTGAACGGATCTGGATGAAATTTGGCACAGAAATAGATTATAGTCTGGAATAACACATAGGTTACTTTAAATCCCGGTAAAATATACGGTTCCCGTGGGATAAGTTTGTTTTGATCTATGAGCCTGAAGCGAAGCGAGTACGAGACGCTAGTAGCTAAACAATAAAAAAATAAAAAAATCGGATGATAAACAGAGGAGAAAAAGCACTGAACTGTTTTATCTTTGCCTATTTATTATTATTTATATAGAAGACTAGCGACTCAGCGCTCAGGTTCGTCTAGATTTCTCAGAGATGAGATATTTTCCCGCAGTAAAAAATACCCTATATGTTGACCCGGATAACCAGCTATCATCATACTAAATTTCATCAAAATCTGTCCAGTGGTTTTCTCGTACTGCGGTAACAGACCGACAGACAGACAGAAAAAAAATCTAAAAACTATAGATTCGGCCTCTGTATCGATAATGTCTATTTCAATAAGATTTTCCAAAAAATATTGAATGTACAAATTTGGCTTAGTTACAATTTTATTATATGTATAGATAAGGAATTCCTATACCATACTAAATGATATAAAATAACAAAACCACAGTCAAAAGGGAGCTTATATTGAATTGTTATGAGTTGCTTCATACGTTTTTATTCTCATGGTCAACGAAAACAAGATGTGATGCAGAAATGTGATATAAATAACTCGGTCTTATAAAGACACTTATCCATGTTGCTTCACTTTCTTAATTCTCCCACATATTTTTGCTTTCAAAAAAAATATCGAAATATATTATATTATCATTTTTTAAAAGATATATGTTAATTGTAATTAATAAATAGAGTCAAATATTGTATCTTGTGAGCGAGTAACCAAAAAAAACCTGTCAAGATTTATATTTTCTTATTGATAACTGTTAACATTTTTTAAATCAAATAACATACATTTTATTTCATTATATACGTATAATTTCCAGTTGAGTGGAAAATATATATTTGAAATTTTTTTCTCTTTACGAGGCCTTTCTTATTTTCATTTTTTCTTTTTTATGTTAACGTTTATATATCTATATATTTTTCTTTTATATATTATATTTCTTTTATATATATTATATATATATATTTCTTTTTTTTTATATTGTTAATAGCGACTCACTCTAAGTTTGCTCGGGTTCATCCCTATGTACGATTTAACTGTTAGTATGGAATAGGTAGACTATATATTATATGATGTGTAGCCCTCCTCAATAAACGGGCTATCTAATGCAAAAAGATTTTTTCAAATCGGATTAGTACTCGTAGTTCCTGAGATTAGCGCGTTCAAACAAACTCTGCTTCTTTATAATATAGATATTAGATTAGATATATTGATTAGTAGTTAGTGTAGTTTTATATGATCTATGGTATAGATTTTTATTTCATATATCAGGACATTAACACACAACGCCATCTAGTACCATGGTAAGCTACGAGGCTTGTGCTATGGATACCAGATAGTTGATACATTATACATATATAACTTTAAATACATATACGAGTATATTATAAATATAAACACCCATGACTGGAGTACAAACATTCGTGCTCATCACACCAACGAATGCCCCAGCGGGACTCGAACCCGCGACCGCTGGCACAGCAAGTAAAGTCACTACCAACTGAGCCAAACATGTCGTCACTTATGACGTCATAGCATTTATATATACATATTTTCACGCTAAATCAAAATGTACTCTACTCTATTAAAAAAAATACAAACAGGCGGAGGCACTATACCATTCATATATATTTTTAGTGCGGACAATAATACAAGCTTCTTATAAGTTTATGATACATTGTGCAGTTTTTGCAACATCCTCTTCAAATGACCTTCCCATCCTTTGTACCTCATTATATTAAATCCGTACAAACAAAAAGTATGCTAAAGCCAGTAAAAACAAAGTACAAATTCTTAATTATGTAACATGATCATTTTCAATTCAATACATAATTAGCTTCTAGTGTCGTTTGGTCACAATTTATTTCGTCAGTGTCGTGTACAAAAGATATTTTTTATAAGCATATCTTCAAAACGAGATTAATTTTAAAATCAAGTTGATGTATTTCTTACATATAATTTAAGTGACTTTATTGGAGATGCTTACAATACTAATTTCGATCTATAATTTTTTTGTCTGTCTGTCTGATTTTACTTATCCATCACATATAATCTCAAGTAAGATATAGTTTTAATCTTGACTTATAAAGGTAGAAAATAAAAAGTAAACAAGAAAATCAACTTGCTTATGGCTACCGAAAATTAATTGGTTGTTTAAAATACAATTTTTACTGAAAAAACAGAGT